ATATATATATATATAAGAAAATGCTGGAAAAAGGAACAAAACCAACCTTTTCTTTTCAAAGGAGGTTCTTCTATTTCTCCTAAACCAAGAAAAAAATAGAAAATTAGTATAATTGGTAGCAGGGATTTGTTATTTACTTATATTTTCTATTTATTTATTTTTGCAAGAGATGGTTTTCAATAGTCATGATTCTTTGATACTTTGCTACCTCAATTTCAAAGTGCATGCTTTGTTTATATATATCCACTTAAGATGGTTTCACTTTATGAGTTCAATAAAATTGTGGCATTCCTCCAGGTTACTACATTATAGCTCATGCATCATATTAATTTCAATTTTCTCTGTTTATTGTCACTTCGCACAGAGCCAAAACAGAAATTAATCAGACAAAGTCATAAAAGGGGCTCCAATAGTCAGAATTTTCCTGTTAGGTAAGACTAAATGGATAATCTTGGATGAGTAAGAGTAACCATCCTTTTAAATGTCATTTAATAGACTAGCTCACTGTACTTTCTTCATTGCAAGCCCTCCAAATGGCAATTTATGAACAGCTTGTTCTTGCATTTACTTTTGTTCATTATATGTGAGCTACTTACTTGCATAATATTTAAAATGTATTCCTCCATTCTATATTTCCATTTGATTCAAACAATTTATGTTTTGATTGGGATTTTATTAAGATTGGTTATGGCCATTTGACTGTTACTATGGCTTACATGTACAAAATATGTCATGGTTAGTTTTAATATTTTTGATTCAATCCTCTTAGACGTGAACTTGAAAAATAGCTACTCTGTCTCAAATAAACATATAAGTGGGTAATCTATTGTTTTTTATAGTCATTTATATTAAGAATCCATCCTATAATGCTAGTCTAATAGCAGCATTTAATTTTGATAAATTTTCCATAATGGCAGATAAACTATAAGATTAAAGCCAAATGTAGTGCAATTTACTCTATTTGGCAGCTTATTGGGAGGCTTTGTATACTCAGATGTGTATTCATTTTAGTTTAGCCTGCCCAAGTGCTCATTTGGACTAAACCTTCAGCTAGCAAATGTCAAGTGTTTCCAATTCCCAGTCATAGCAGTTGGATACAACTCTGAGCCCTGGGTACCTTTATCGATGTCCTCATCTGCATCCTCATCTTCTTCATCACCTTCAGATGAGATGATGTCTGACAGCAAAGAAAAGAAGCCATAGATCCAGTCACTTGTTTCCTCCACAGCATCATTTACGAATTTTAGAGGATCTGAGCCAATCTTGGCAATGGAGCTTGCTAAAAGTCATGAAAACAAAAGAGAACTTAGGTCATTGTCAGATAAATTAAGAAAAAACATTTTTTAGAAATATATCTAGGCTACTTTTTTGTGGAGAAATGGAAAACATATCCTGCTTCACTGTTACTAAAACAGTATATAAACACATAAGATACACACATATATGTATATGTACACACACACACACACACACACACACACACACACACACACACATCAAGAGAAGTAATTTAAAACATCTAATACTAAGCATTACAGAATTACCAATAAGAAAATTACCTTAGTAAACACTATAAACTAAATGAATGAGTAGGGCAGCAAAAATTTGGAAAAATCAAATAATATGTATTTTCTTTTTTTAAAGATTTATTTATTAAATATACATTGCTCTGCCTGCATATATGACTGCATGCCAGAAGAGGGCACAAGATGTCATTATAGATGGTTGTGAGCCACATGTGGTTGCTGGGAATTGAATTCAGGACCTCTGAAAAATCAGCCAGTGCTCTTAATTGCTAAGCCATCTCTCCAGCCCCAAATTATATATATTTTCATCAAAAAATTTTAAAGTAACTGAGTTATAGTTGTTCAGGAAGACTGAAATAGTCATTGACCCACAGAATACTTCATAGTATCATAGAGAAGATGGTCACGTAAATCTTCAAAGAATGGCTAAAATTTTGACTAAACTCACTATGGCATTATGGGTGAATTAAGATTGATTATACATACATATATATATATATATATATGAGCATATAATTTGTAAAATGCTATAATTTGTAAAACAATAATCAAGGTGGTTATTTTGTCAAATGGAGCAAAGTTCATTACATTTAAGCATTTTGAAAATGTAGTATCTTAAAATGTTTAAATGTAAATTCTTTAAACTTAAACTACTAATAACTTCGATAATATAATTAGGTAAAACAGAAGCCTAGAAATTATATTATTATTGTGTTTTGGATGATTTTTTTAAACTTATAAAGTGAGAGTTTAAATAAGAAAAAATAAACAAAATATTGGGATTTATAAAATGTTGTTCTGATTGCATGAAAATTTCTCTGAAGACAGAAAGTAGTTTCTAGTATCTCCTGAAATGATAATGTAGAAATACAGCATAAATTACACCTGAGCTTTCATTAATATGTAATTAAGTCTTAGAGTCATTTTTTTCTGAATTTTAAAAACTAGTTTTGCTTTTCAAACAATCTTGTCCCTTTGATATATTTAAGAGGTCAGAATTACATCAATGTATTGTATTATCTAATGGTTAAATGTTCCAAAATCAGGCTTTCATCCTGATTAAGACAGGAAGTCACTGGAGGGCTTGAGTAGGTTTAGTGATGAGGGCTAAAATGATCTCAGGCTACAAACAGGCAGACAGGGAAGAGCCAAATAAAATAGTTTAAATGGTGGGTGATCATGCTGCATCCAATACTGGGAGACATGCATGTAATATACCACCAGGTTCCGGATGTTCTTCAAAGGTACAACACGTGGCTCCTATGTGAATGCTTTTTCTTCTGCCCTTTCATTTGAGGAAACAACAATTCTAGGCTTTAAAAAACCAAATCAATTGAAATAATGGATACCTAGAATGAAAAGGTGCATTCTAAATATTACAACAAATATGCATCTTGCTTATGTAATTTTAAAGTTTCTTGTGAGTGAAACTGGAGGTGTAGCAGTGGCATCTACTTGGGAAGGGGAAGCTTGCAGAGAAATACTGTTGGCTTCTTGTTGTCTGGTCTGGATTGAAGGGAGAATGAAGTAGCGATTTGGCTGAGATTTTTTACACACCTACAGTGATGCTTAGGTATAGTTACTTCAATCTTTTCTATAAAAGACACTTTCTGATTGAATTAGGAACTTGAAAGCACCAAAAGGATGGAAGGTATCAAAGTCATGATGTTCAGTGAGTACCCTGAACTAAGAGACTCAAGAGACTGAAGTATCCAGAAGGCTGAGGGCTACACTAGAAATGGTGAGCAGGGGGAGCAGTAGGATCTAATCTGGGGCAAGAGGAAGGACCAGGAGAATATGAAGTGCTAAAAATCAAGAAATCACTTGGCAAAAATAGAGTTTTCAAGTGGCAAGTGATACTGTTAGGGCAAAAAAAAAATGAAGACAGGAAGGACAGATGATGAACGAATGTGAAGGATTGAAGGATGTACTCAAAGGCTCTCCACACACAGTATCAGTAGAATATGTTCAGGTCCTGAGAGAAATTTGGAGGTGGTCAGTATTCTTTACAGCCAGTGATATAAGAGATACTTGAAAGGGAATTGAAATCTTAGTTTGCTTTGTTTTCAGTGCTAATGATGTGAGAAGGATACACTTTACATATCCCACAGAGAGAAAGGAAAATTATAGAAAAGAACTCCTGAGGGAACTTTTAAGTTCATGTTGTCATTAGGGCAGTGGTTCTCAACCTGTGGGTCATGACCTTTTACAGGGGTCACATATTAGATATCCTGCATAACAGATATTTACATTATGATTCATAACTAGCAAAATTACAGCCATAAAGTGACAACAAAAATGATTACATGTTCAGGGGGCACCACAACATGAGGAACTGCATTAAAGGGTTACAGCATTAGGAATGTCTAGATCTACTACTCTGGGGGAATGGTAGACACAAAGGTTGCACAATAACCCTAGATTTAAAAAAGCAAGAGTCAGGAAGACTATCTGAATTATTCATTGCGGATGTACCTCCATTCTTTCTACTTTAGTTCGTAACATTCATTTGTAGCTCTATTATGTGAACTGAAAATATTGGTCTGAATGTTGAGGTTAAAAGGAAAGAAATTGATTTATACTTGCAATTGAATATTTTATAATTGCAATTAAGAGATTCAAAAGATCATATGTAGAGATCTATGTACTGGTTTTATTAAACATATTTTAGCACTATCTTCCCTCTGGCTAAAGAATACTGCAATGAAATGTTGTGCTTTGGAAATGATTAGAAACTATTTCCTCACCATGCCTCCTTAGGTCTAAGTGGTGGTGCACACCTTTAATCCTAGCACATGGGAGGAAGAGGCAGGCAGATCTACGTAAATCTGAGGCCAGCCTGATCTACAGATGATGTCCAGGACAGGCTGCAAAGCTACACAAAGAAACCCTGTCTCAAAAAAAAAATAACAACAAAAAGAAGAAAGAAAGAAATTAACAATGATGTCTAAGAAAATAGTGATTATCTTTAGGATTAAACACACTCTAGCACCTCTAAGGGTAATACAGTCAGGTGAGACTGTTTTCATGAAGATAATATTGCTGGCTTGAGACTTCTGATTTTCAAACAAGCAGATAGCCTATTTAAAAATCTAACACATACATTTTAAGACAGTCCATAAAATTAATAGTTTACAGATATCATGCCCAAGCCATATTATAATAATTATTTTATACAAAACAATTAAAACTATTATTGGTGACTTTTAGAAAGAAATAATCCTAATTCAGGTGACAGGAGTGCTAACTGGCCATCTCTTGTCATCTCAGTACCAGACACAGTTATATACAATTGAGTTGTGTGGCAAAGAGTTCTCTTGGAAATCCCCAAACAACCCAGGCTGTTGCCAAAACAATAGGTAGCTCTCCAAAAACTAACAGCAAGGCCTAATTGCTGAAGACAACACCAACACAACTCAGTGAACATCTAGAATTTGAAATGGTGTCTACATACAACCTTCACCCCTATGTTCTAGTGTCTTTGATATGGGAAGGTACTCTGCATGTTACCAAAGAAGGAACATGAACTCCAAACTAGTCACAAAATCTTTGATCTACAATGCTGCCTGCCTTCAAAATGCACCAGGGCAATGATGGCATGAAGCTTGTTGGAGTAACCAATGAATGTCTGATTTGACTTAAAGCCCACTCCAGCAGAAGAAATCCATACATAACACTGTTTCAATAACCATGATCCAAGGACCAGATAGCCCAGAGACCTTGGATAATACTAAGTACTACTTGGCTTTTAAAAGAAAAGAAAGGTGGGGATAAAAATAGTGATAAAATGTTTCCTAATGATAATTTTCCATACTCGTAGATCAGTGAATTATCCAACCATCATCAGAGAAGCTCCTTTCTACAGGATATGGGAAAGATACAGAGACCCACACCCAAGAATTATACAGAAAGTGAGAGACCTTGGAACACATAACTCTAAATAGAATGTCTCCATCAAATCCCTCCCTTAAGAGCTCAGAGAACCCCATAGAAGAGAAGGTAGAAAGATTTTAAGAGCCAGAGGGGATAGAGGACACTAGAAGAAGGAACACTCTAAAACTGCTGAGCAAAGCTCTTATGAACTCACAGAGACAGAAGCAGCAAGCCCGGGGCCTAAATGGGTCTGCACCAGATCTTCTGCATACATATTATGACTTTCAGTTTAGTGTTATTATAGGACTCCTGAGTGTGTGAACACATGCGTTTCTGATTCTTGTACTTTCTCTTGGGCTCTTTTCCTTCCTTTAGGTTGCCTTCTCCAACTTCAATGTGATGGGTTTTATTTTATCTTATATTTTATTTTGTTACATTTTGTTGGTATCTCTTAGAAACCTATTCTTTTCACTGGGCGTTGGTGGTGCATGCCTTTAATCCCAGCACTCGGGAGACAGAGGCAGGCAGATCTCTGTGAGTTCAGGGCCAGCCTGGTCTCCAGAGCCAGTGCCAGGATAGGCTCCAAAGCTACACAGAGAAACCCTGTCTCAAAAAAAACTTTTCTTTTCTAATGAGAGACATAAAGTGTATGGATATGGATTGGAGGGAAATTGAGGAGAAACTGGGAGCATAGAGGGAGGGGAAGTTTTAATCAAAATATGTTGTATAAGAAAAGAATCTTTTTCAATCAATGGGAAAAATAAATCTCATTTTGTACACTGTCAAAAAGAGAGAGCGAGAGACAGTCCTGAAACTTTCAATTCTCTATGAGTTAAACTTCACATGTAACAATGAGAATTGTCATAAAAAATAATGGTAA